AAACAGCTGATTTCGAAGAACTGCCGCTGCCACTGCCACTGCGTTATTGCATTTTGGGCTTAATCTCTCATTGAGTGGCAGCTTTCCGTTCCCAATGTCCAGTTATTGCCGCACAAATACTTCAGCTGCAGTGTATTTATGTTCGTCTTGTCGCAATGTTGACTATTTCAGACAAGCATTTATCTCGTCCGCTAGTGTGCATTCCCGAATGGTTGAACGTTTCCACGCAAATCCCGCAACAATGGCTCAAAAGCCTCAAACGATTTTTTATATGCCATGGTGCACTCATCCCAAACAATGAGTTTAAATTTCTGTAAAACTTTTTCCAAACCGGATGCTCTGAAAAGATTGCACGTGGGAGTTTCGATGATTTATATGTTCAATGGCAGCTCAAGAGCTGAATTGTCAATGTTTCCACCTGGTAACAATGTCGCAGCTATTCAAGACGAAGCGATAGCTAAGGTAATGTCATTTTTTGATCGAACCGTTGCCAGAATCCATCTGATAGGGAATATTTTCCTAGTTCCTCCTGGCGTATCCAAGAAAATGGTCCCCCAACTCCGTCATTTGTCATTTGCATATTTTTCTCCTACTTTGGCTTTGTAACCGCCTAAGCCATTTTGGGCGAGCTCGACAAAGACCGCCAGTAATTTCTCTCTGTGGGAACTTGGTCTCTCCATTGCAATGGGGGCACCCTATTCGTCTGCTACCACCAGCCGCTTGTGAGTTGAATTCTCTTACACCTGGAGCGTCGGTGTCCATTCGAACGACATGGCCAAGCCAGCGGAGCCGCTGTATTTTAATTCGTTGCACTACGTCCATGTCGTTGTAAAGCTCATACAATTCATCGTTCCATCGTCTGCGGTACCCGCCGTCGCCAACGCGAAAAGGCCCGTAAATCTTCCGCAAAATCTTTCTCTCGAATACTCCAAGAGCTGCCTCATCGAATGTCGTCATTGTCTAAGCTTCTGCGGCATATAACGGGCTGATGAGTGACTTATAGAGTGCGGTTTTTGTACGTCGAGAAAGGACTTTACTCCCGAATTGCCTACTCAGTCCATAGCAGCACTTGTTGGCAAGAGTAATTCTGTAAGGGTTTTCCATGCTGATATTTTTATCGGTGATAATGCTGGTTCCCTAGTAAACGAAATTCTCCACATTCCCGAAATTACAACTGTCAACAGTGACGTGGGTTCCAAGGCGCGAACGCGGTGACTGGAGATACTTCGTCTTGTCCTCGTTTACCACCAGGCGCATTCGCTTTGCTTCCTTATCCAGCTTGGAAAAGGCCGAAGAGACTTCGCGATTTTTGTTACCGAGGATGTCGATGTCATCGGCACACGCCATAAATTACACGCCCTTGTAAAAAAATGTTCCTACATCAGGGGCGGATCCAGCGCGGGGGTTTTGGGGGTTAAACTACGTGTCAGTCAGTGGCGGACCCACGGGGGCGGGTGTTTTAATACAGAGACGCCATATTATACATAGATATGCGCCATATTAAAACACACCCCGTGCGCCCGCCACTGACAGACACGTAGTTTAACACCCAAAACCCCCCCGCTGGATTCGCCACTGTCCTACATGGTTCAGTTCTGCAGCTCTTATTATCTTAACATTTGCATCATGCGATCCTAAATGCCCTTCTGCTTATGCTTTAATTTGGGATTCCTTGATCGGGAATAGGAGTTCACAATAATATACGTAGTAGGCTATGGCGACCCCAGATGAAATTGTTTACGATTAAAAGTTAACTGATTTATATTGCTAGGGAATGGTGTCAACAATTTAAAGTTTTCATTAAGTACTTTTTAAACAGCTTTATCATTTTGTTATTTGTTTCTGTAGTTTTTAGCCGACTTCTAAGAAAGGAGAAGGTTATCAATTCGTCGGAATTTTTTTTGTGCATGTTACTGCATAACTTTGAACCACGTCAACCGATTTCCAGGTGATCCCATACTAATTTGGTTTAGATCCGATCATTGGACCATGAAAAAATTAACGGTACTATTAAACTTTTATATGAGAATTGGAGTCGGTGTGTTGTTTGCTTAAAAATTACTTGTTTATTAATTTTTTACATTAAGTAATTTGTGTACCAGCTCTTCGTTGATAATATGATCACTTCGTTCGATAAGATGTTGTATATTCTATATTTATTTAAACTGTTCGGATTTTGGATAAGTGGAAAGATTTAAACAAATTCCCTAGTAAAGCTTTCCCAAATACTTTTCGTTTGGTACCAGTTATGTAATATTGCATTTAATTTCAATATTTTCAGTCTTTACTTTTAGATAGGTGATAATCCTATAAAAAATATTTCCAAATCAAGATTTTTCAAATACCTTTCGTTTGGTACCCATATTGTACCTCAAACATATTTTCGCTTGTAAGTCTTCTTAAAAATCTAAAATTTGATAACCAAATTACCGTATTTCATTTATTTTATCAAAATAACTGAGTTTAAATTTTCAAAGATGTGGCAATTTTACTCAAACATATTTCCGGCAGTTATCATTCTTAAACCTCTTTAATTTAAAATCTATATTGTAATATACCATTTAGTTTATCAATTAAATTGCGCAAAATTTTTTAAAAGGCAGCAACCCTCCTTTAAAATATTTTCGGCTGTAAGCCTTCTTAAAACTCTTTAGTTTGACATCCACATGGCAATTTTTCATTTATTTTATCAATTTCACTGAGTTAAAATTTTGAAATAGGTGGCAACCCTGGTCAAAAATATTTCCAGCAGTTATCTTCCTTGAACCTCTTTAATTCGATACCCATATTGCAATATTTCATTTATTTTATCGATGTACTTTAGTTAAATTTTCAATCAAGTGGCAACCCTCTTCAAGCATATTTTTGGCTGTAAGCCTTCTTAAAACTCTTTAGTTTGACACCCACATTGCAATATTTCATTTATTTTATCAATTTGACTGAGTTAAAATTCTCAAATAGGTGGCAACCCCCGTCAAAAATATTTCCAGCAGCTATCTTTCTTAAACCTCTTTAATTTGATACCCATATTGCAATAATTTATTAATTTTATCAATATATTTGGGTTTAAAAATTTTCAAAGAGGTGGCAATTTTTTCGTGAAAATACACAAACCTCCTACCGTTCTGGCCCCACCAGCCGTACATATTTAGCCACATAAATCTATTCTCTTTAGCTAGAAATATTTAATGATTATGATTTTCAATCAAACATTTGCACTTTTTCAAATCCATGAACATATTCACACATACATACATACGCACCAAAACTCACTCTCTTTCTCTGTTATGAAAGTGAAACGAAGTGGACGTGAAGCTAACACGCGCCTCCACCTAAACAGAACAATAAGCAAACAAAATGAAAATTATTAAAAGCGAAAACCAGATTATCTTTCATTCGCTAAAGAAGAAGGCAGACAAGATTAAGCACAATGCCAATGCGAAGCAGTGAAGGAAAAATCAATACGAACAGCTGACAAATGAGCAGCCAACAATTCGCCTGGCGCTCAATGAGCCAAACCGATTCTTTTTATTTCATATTTTGTTTTTCTTTTGATTTGCTGTGCGTTGACATTTCAACTGCGATGCCAAAACAAACAGCACAAAAGAGAAACCACAAAAACACCGTCCCACACTACCTGTACAGCTGAGATGACGTTAGAAATTGTGGTCGGAAATCAAAGGGGATGAACCCAAAGAGAGTTAAAAAAACAAAAACAAAAAACGTTAGCATACTCACGAAAATTGGCTCAAAGCAATTATGTACATATTTATGTATGTATCTATATGAAAATGAAATGGGCCAACAAAATGCCCGAACTAACGGTATGCGCTCTCGAAAATCTCTACCGAAGCGCATACGAAATTGGCTAAACGATTGCTCTACTAAGCAGCCACATACATATGTAGCCTCGTCGGCACTTTTCCACAGCAGCCCCAACAATTTTCCTCACTTTCTACAAATTTTCATTATTCAGTTTTTCTTGGCTACTCAGTGGTAACGGTTCGGTAACGGGAAAATCTTTTTTGAACTTCGGGAAAAACAGCAACGTTAAACGACCAACTGTGGCCCGGTGCGCGATTAATAGGCAATTGCAACAACAACATCGCCAACGACGACGAACCGCCCCATGCAACAACAACAACAGCAACAACAACCCACAGATTAGTTTAAACGTAACGAACAACAAACACACGCACACATACTCGCCCATGCATACGAATACGAATATATCAGCGCGCACACAAACGTACGCCATGTTTTATATATAGAAAATTTACGCACAGCTGAAAAATTTCCTTTTGGTGAAACAGTGAATTTCGGTGCGGTTTTTCATAAGCTCCATACGTGTGAACGAGAATTTTCATTGTGAATTTTTGTTTAGTGTAGAAAATCTAATGAATTAATGTAATTGTGCAATAGCAAAGAAAATTGCAGCGATAAATCCTATAGTCAAGTGTGTAGTGTTCAAAAAATCTGGGCATGTCAAAGTTTAAATGTAGCTGCTACTTGAATCGCTCGTTCGTATCGTCAAAACTTCCATTTTCGCGACTCCACCCAGTTTTGTGGTCACCGAAATATTATACAAAATAGGAATACGAATAGGAGAAAGAAGAAGCAGCAGTTGCAGTGGCAGTGGCAGCATCAGCAAGACAATTCGAATAGGCAGGCAATCACATTGCGTCTAGCCAAAACCCAAAGTGGCTAATGAGGCCATAAGTTCTATGTACATACAAACATAAATATTATTGCATCAGTGCGTGTCTCTGTGTATACCTATGTACGTGCCAGCTAAGCAGATAATAAGATTACATATAGACAAAAGTGATAATATACAAATAAAGAAAATCTTTACAGAAGCTAGTAAATACATATTCTTTACTCGTTAAGTATTTGTGTTCAGAAAGTGCATAAGAGTGGTGTCGTGTATTTGAACTTGTTTAGCAGCGCCGTCCGCGACGCCACGCAGCGCCCGCAATAGCTGGGAAAATGCTAGAAAAATGCCCAAGATGCTCATATGCGACAAGTTGATGACACATTTTACTGTCATTGTGACCGCATTCCTGCTACTCCATTGCATTGGTTTTTCACCGTTTACACCGCAAACGTTGCGCGGCGTTGCGGCCACTCCCGAGGATGAAGCGTAAGTTGGCCATGGAGATACATAGCCTTAGATATGTATCTACATGTGTAGGTTAGGGCGGGTCAATTTTTTTTTTTTTTTTTACTATGCGCGTATAGCATTTGAGGAATCTACGTGAAATTCTGAGCACATTTGCTGAAGAAACCAAGAGTCTAAAATAAATTTAGAGTTCGCCAAATTGCGAAAATAGGTTTCGATGGAAATGTGAAAATTTTCATTGTTGCGCCCTCTGCTGGATATGATTAGATTTTTAAGAAAAAGATGAGTGCAGAAATAGATTCCTTGTACCAAAACACCCGTTATAGCATGTTTTTATACAAAATTTAATCACTTTACGACACTACAGCAAAATGCTAAGAAACCTACTTTCGCAATTTGGCAAACTCCAAATTGATTTTAGACCCATAGTTTCTTCCGCAAATTTCTTTAGAATTACACTTGGAACCCTTCTGGGCATAGTCAAAAGAAAAAACTCCCTTACAAATTGACTCGCCCTAATATATGTATATATACATTTACACGGCATATAGGGCTTTAGGCTATGCAGTTGGGGCATATGTTTACATACATACAAGCAAAACATCATTCCTAGTCACAGTTCTCTAAAGATGCAGCTAGGATCCAGAAATATAGTAAAACCGGAGTCTTCCGCCTTTCGTAAACGTAAAATTTCGGTTAAAATATGTTACTTCAAAGAGTTAAATTTTAAATCAAATTTTTTTAAAAGTTTTTATTTTTTTTATTTTAATCCAAATCCCCTTTTTAGGCTTGCACAATATTATTTATAGAATAAGAAATCAAAACAATGGATATGTATGTAGATACTATGAATGTATGTATAGTCCTTTTCATAACTTGACGACACTCACATATTGACAAGATTTGACCATTTGTCTTAATATTTTTTTTAATTTTAATTATTTGTTTATAAAAATTTTGTATATTACTTAACAAAAACCATATAAATCAAAGTTTGGGTATTTGAGCAGGAATTTAAAAATAATCGACAAACTTTAGTAAAAATTTCGAACTTTTGATTTAGATTTTTTTTAAATATTTTGAGAATGCATATTCTCGACTTATTAAAAAAAAAAAACAATTTTTATATGACTGCCCGCACTAAACCATTTTTAGCTCTGTTATTTTTTACCCAATTTTAAGTTTATATTTGACTTTAGAAAGAAGAATATTTGTGCCATTTAAGGAAATAATAAGTTTTGTGAGTGTGTTTTGTAAATTTGTGGACAATTTTTGGAATAAGTCTGAAGTTAACACATATTTTTTTATTTTTCCCACTCGAAATAATTTTTCCTCCACGGCTATGGAAAGACTAAGTAAAGAAGGGGACTTGGCTGCACTTAGCTCGGAAGAAAAATGACTGCCTGCTTTATTGGACTCGACCAAAATCGGCTAGACTGATACACCGCCAAACAGAAGAAGATGAAGGCAAGATTGAAGTAGAGGTATGCACTGCGACCAAGGGATCTATTGTACCCTCCTAAGAAGAAGAAGGCAAAGATTGCACGAACAAGTCTCGATATGCATTTCGGCTAATAAAAAATTCGAAACGTAGTGACATTCCGTTGTAGTTTTTGTTGTGGCGAGTAGGGGTTTTTGGATCCATACGGTATCACAATGGCCTCTGATTGGGCCTAAGTGTGCTGGCGCCCTCTGGGCCTGACAGCCACTTCAACCTAACCTAACCTAACCTAACCTTTGTTGTGGCGACTATTGTTCCCATCCTAGTTCAGTTAAATGTGCACTCGTTGGTCATCAAGCTTCACTCAGGACCAATAGGCTAAGAAAAACGTTCTTCTTTGAACGACGTCCACCGTGAACCTTTAAAGCACTATGATGTGAAGGCATGGACTTGGATGAACACTTTAATGAGGAAGGTGGCACTATGCGACGTCTACTACAGCTGACATGTGAAGGAGCTAAATTCGATTTCGGATTTGTGACGACCTACATATAGCAATTTTGCGGCTGAAAAACAACCAAGCTGCAGTATCTGAAGGTCTGCCAGCTAAGTTATTTCAGAACGGAAGCGAGGAGTTACCGACTAGAATGTAAATGTGCTTTGCGCAATTTAAAAAAAAAAAAAGGGTGATCCAGTCACATGCGCCGACTACTGCGCGATCAGCATTCTTAATACAGCTTGCAAGGTCTTATCGGTCGTATTGTGTGAAAGGCTTAAGCCTCCCCCCCCTCCCCCCCTCCGGCAGCGAACTGATTTGTCGTTATCAGTGTGGGTTGAAACTTGCAAATCCATAATAGGCTAGGCATTTGAAAAATAAAAAGATTTAGGAACAACACATTTAAATCTGATTTTGGAGAAGATATCGAGCCCTAACCGCCAAAATAACGTAAGCGACAATTTTTTCAAAATTTTATTTTTGAAGCAGAAATGCATCTAGATGCTCTAGGAATATTTCAGCATCAAAAATCAAATTTTGAATAAAATGTCGCTTACGTTATTTTGGCGGTTAGGGCTCGATATCTAACGCTGCAGAACTGAACCGCTTTGGTACCATTTTCTAAGATACAGCGGATGAGTAAGGATATGTATTCACAGGAAGCAGGCCGTTGCGAATAATTGTAGAATCCCCTAAACAATTGGGAGAATGGACAATATTTACACTTAATAGTTTATAAGTATAATCTTTTGAGTACTGAGAGTGGAAAGCAGGAAACAAAAATTAACCAAAATTCTCATTAAATGATCGGCCCATAATTCATGCGAATTGAAGCCGTTATAGTTGCCCAATCTTCCCCATATTTTTGATATTTATGTTTGTCTAATAAAAGAGAGAGTACAAGGTAAATATCATCGAAATCGGGCGAAATTTAATGTTAATGAAAATTTCCTATTACTAAGATAAATTAATTTAGATGTCAAGTTTCAGCGAAATTGTTCCACGGTAACTATTCTTCTTTCCACCTGCCACCATATAGTCGAAACACTGTGCGGCGTTTTCTTAAAAATGTATTATCTTAATAACTGTCTGGACGCCAAATTTACACAACAATTCTCTATAGTTTTGTCGAATGTAAACGCAAGGTTAGTATCTTTATAACACGATTCGATACTCACGAGGTTTGTTTTTTTCTTTTATGAAAATCTACATTGTAAATATTCGCTAGAAATATTTCTTCACAAATCACTTCGCGCTCTCCCTGCCACTTACACGCGCACAATATGTATGTACATACATGTATGTACGTACATATCTACTATGTATTAATTGGCATGCTTTTATGCTAAGTAATTCGCTATTAATTGCACGTTTTCATTTCCACTGCATAGTGGTTTTCTTGCTAGCCTCTATAGCCTCCTTTTTCTACTTGTAAGTTGTCATTTCTTTTCAAGCAGGCTACTTATGTTTGTACAAATGTGAAATATGTGGGTGTGTATAATTATAAGAGCTTCTTTTTGTTTTTAATTTTCCAATTTCGCTAGAAATAGCCTGTATAGAAAAATAGTGTTGCCAGAAGTCGAATAATACTTGCGTGTCTTGATAAATACATATAGCAGAAGGAAAAGAAGATGGTTGATATCTATTTTATGTTGATGAGATGGAGGAAATGTAGGGGGCGACGTTGGGGACTCCTACAAGTCGCATGCTAAATATGCTGATTAGCAGCTAAGCGTTTGGTTTAAGCCGTTTACAATGTGGCCAATATTATTATGTGCAGAGACGATGATGATGATGATGACAGTAATGGGTTTGGCAGTATTGACGACGATTATGTTCAATACATACTATGTATTCTGTGGGGTGACAAATTGTATAATGAACTTTTATTCTTAACTTTAGGGTGGGTGGCATATTTTTTTTTAAATAAAGATTTTGAAATCGTCAAAACTTGTCAATATGTGAGTGTCGTAAAGTTATGCTAAGTACTATGCATACTTCAATTTTAAGGCAGGGACGTATAGAAAGTCACTTCAAAGAAGAAAGTCGGTATAGAATTATTCTTACATATACTATTTCTGTCTAATTCGACACTAAATATTCCTTTAAGAAAATTCTGCTCCTAGCAGTCTGTTGTTCAAATGCGTAGTTCCACTCTCTAATTTAATCAACCCTAGTAATATAATCGTCTACATATTTATTCAAATATATAGATGTATACAAACGCGTATGCAACTATGTGGCATTAAATGGTATTAAGGCGAATTTTATTACTCTGAGAGTCTCATTAAATTAACATAACGCTGTAAAGCTATGTACATATGTATGTATGTATGTATGCAACTATGCTTGTATCGATATACGTAAGCTGTAAAAATGGTACTAAGATTTTTATGGTGAATGTTTGCATTGCGCATTTGCATAGAAAATTGAAGTCTGTATATAAGTAACTATACAGGCAAGTGTAGGCATATATATATATTTTAGTTATGTGCTAATGAGCGGATTAATAGAACAAAAAGTAAATGTTTTACTTAGTGAGTTGACTGGCCAATTCAAAGGTAAAGTTGCTTCCTACACAAGAGCTGGATGTTTACTTCTTAAAGGTTAACAAAGCAGACACGTACATACATACATACATACATATATATGTATGTAGGTAAAAGTTTAAAGTGAACCAATTTGCATCAAAAAATCAGTTTCGAAAAACGGGATAATTTCACTCGATATGTACATACAACTGCGTGCAGATAATTAGAAACAATTTGTTGACAATTTATTTATTTTATTTACTAATTTTATGTATTCTTTTACGAAAATATAGTTCACACTGCAATAAAATAAAACTTATTAGGAATAAATGAATTTTCGAAACTTGTAAAGACAAGTTGTTTCTAATTATCTGCACGTAAGTGTACTAAATATATAATGAACGATATGAGTAGCGATAATTTTTATAATATAATAATTTTGGGTAGAAGATTACGGATCCCTTTACCGTTTTTTTTTTTGTTTTTACTCAAGTCATTTTCTACAGATAGAAATGTTACTCATACGCCATGTACGACTATGTACGAGTACGGC